TTTGTTTTTTTTTTTTTTTTTTTTAACCTGCCTGCCAAATCCATAATTAAAACTAACCCCGCACCCTGGTGCCCATCACTCCCCACCCACAGCCACTGCTCCCCCAGCCCTGCTGGAGTGGGCCCCCACTGCCAGGGTTACAGACCCAGGTCTGCAGGCCCCTGCTGCCACTCCCTCCACCCTCCACATGCTTCAGGCTTGGGCAGGGCGGTTCCCTGCTGCTGTGTGCATTCCCGGGGGGACCTGCGTGCTTGGGGCTGCAGTGTGTGGCTGAAAGGCCCCAGCAGAATGGGGCCACGGGTGACTTGTCTCAGGGAGGGGGAGGGCCAGCTCCCCGGTGCTGCACACACTCCCAGGGGGCACGGGGGACCCATGCCCCCAAGGTCTGTACCTGGAGCTCGAGCTAGCAGCCTGCGACTTCCCCTGCCCTGCTTCCCTCCCCTGGGGCCTCCCTAGCCTGGTGGGTGTGACCTAGCATGGCTAAGGGACAGCGGGGCCACAGCAGGGATTCCCTGCTGCTCACTGTCTTTTCTCCCCCCACACCCTCTTCCCCTTTATACTACTGCAGGAAAGGAATAAATCTTTAGTATTTTCATGTTTAAGTTTGTGTACATGTTTTACCTGATTACAGTCCACTTCTAGATTCGGAAGTGAACTGGACAAATGCATGCAAATGTCAGCCAAAACCATTATATGTAGGTGAAAAGTAATGGAGCATAAGTTGGTACTCATTCCACAGCAGAGGTGATGCACACCTTGGCCTGCTTTTGAGCCTTGTTTTCATTTTGCAAAGCTGGGAAAAAATTGATGAATGTGACTCACTTGCAGTATATAATATCATAGTACTTATTTTCAGGGGGCAACACTTTCTTCATCAGGCCTTTTACTAGCTTCTTAGTGGAACTTTGTAATTAACTGCCCTTGGTCTAGAAATAATGTAATTGTGTCTAACAGCACATCTGCCTTGAAGAGCATGCTGTGGGTGGATGCAGTAGATCAGGCAATATGCTAAACATAAAATTCAAATTGCTCCTTATTTTCTACTAAAAGTTTCTTATGCTAATAGCATTGCTTTAGTTATAGCTCAGTAGATGCTTTTATTATAGGAGTGTGGGGCTTTTTTTGTCTTGTCTACTTACACTTAACAGAAATATCTTTGGTCAGACATCTTTAATATCACAATGCACATTTTTGTTCAGAGACACTAGTTTATCTGCTGGAAGCTAACTTCATTCAGTATCTACTGGAAAAAATCTCATTTTTGAATAGCTTTTTAAAAAAACTTCACATTTACCTAGACCTAACTGACCTGTTACGACTTTGGATTTGAACTTACTTCAGGCCTTATTACACAGTAATGTTAGGTGGCTCTTGGAGCTCTTAACCCCTGGACTGGCTGTACTTTAACACCTTTTAAGTGACTTAGTGAGACAGTAGGGAGTGCTACTACACTGAGCCACCCATCTCACCGTGCTTGGCCAAAACCAGGCTTTGGTTGTCTCCCCTGGGATGCTTACGTCCAACCATCCCCCTTCAGGGGGCCTCCTGCAAACTTGAGGTAATGCTGCCACCACCAGGGCACTGGCCTGTGTTAGGGCTCTGTGTAGCGCAGGGTACGCAGACCTAGCCAGCCTTGGGGGTGCTTGGCTTTCTGGAAGTGTTTCTGGGTGCTCCCTATAGCTTGGAGCCTCCCAAGATACTCTCAGGTAGGACTGAAATAGTTAATAAACAGCCGAGCTCCCTCTCCCTTCAGGCATTTACAGCTAGGTGCGTTGAGCCAGATAACTTTTTATTGATCAGAGAGAGAGGACGGGGGTGGGTAGAGAAGACAGCAAGTTAAAGAGAATAACAAAACACCGTGAGCATTACAGAATAAATTGAACCTTTAATCAAATTTGGGTTCGGGGACCCTTTTAACACATGGCTAAAATTACTTATTTGAAATCTAGTAGCCAAATTCCAGATTTCTACTTACAAATCTTCCAGGGAGTTTGTCTTTCATGGAGGCACATCCTTCACTGTCTGTTTCCAAAATGATGGCCTGTCCCCTTCCCAAAATGCCTGCTGCCTTAGGAATTTGTTTCAGCCCAGTCACCTAGGTGACCAGGTGACTGAAACCAGGAAGTATGAAAAAACAGAGGGGCTGGGCTGTCTCAATACAGAGGTGAGGAAGACTGAGGAGGATTTCTTTACACCTTCCTCCCCACCCCTTCTTTCAAAAGCCTGTGCCCATTGCCTTACAGGGCTGTGGGCACTGGTGCTCCTTGTCTAGAGAGGTTATTTTCTATACCAAAAAAAAAAGAAACCCAAATACCACAAACACAACTTACTATAACAAGAATACTCATAACAGAGAAAGTTG